GGCTTCGTCAGTCTGAGGCCTAGCCTCTTGGACGAGGGGCGAAACGTTTCTTTTTAACAAAAAAAACGAAGTCCAGATGACATGATTCAACCTTTTTTGTTGTTATATACCTGGATGACTGAGAAAACAAACTTTGTGTCTATGTTTAGCTGTTTTGGTCACAAACACTCAAAATTTCATTAGACAATAAAATAAATTTAGCCTTTTTTCACACAACTCTGAGTCACCAACTCGTCTCCAGCAGTCGCAGCTCAGTAACAAACTACCTTTAGCTCATTGATCCAGTTGAAATTAAACATTGTTTTTCCAAATGGAGATTGCTGAAAGACCTATCTACAGCAGGTGAGATATGAACTGTTCAAAACTGAACTCCACTGCAAAGATCTGCTTTAAGATTTAGTCAAAACATGTCATTATTCAGAACGGGCACTAAGAACAAGCTAAAGTTTGCTCTAAGGGCTCAGATGGTGCAGCGCCTTTGAAAACACCAACAGTAGAGCCTCACAGATTGTGTTGCATCATCCTTTTTTTTTTTGTTCAGACCACTTGAAAAAACAAAACGGGCAGGCTTTAAGTAGAGCATCAGTTACCAAAAATAAAGGAACCATAACGGACATGAGTTCAGGTCTCACAGTTCTGAAAGCTGGGACTTCCTGCTCTGCAGAATGAATTGAATTGTTTCTCGCTGCTGCAAAAGACCGTCTCCTTTTTATCCCGCAGTTCAGTGGAGTTTTGTGAAGCAGTGGGGGAGCTAAACCCAGAGACGGTAGCACTATTCATCATTTTATCACATCTGACAGCTAAATGCCAAATAAAGGCTCTTTTGATCTTGCAGGTGAACAGAACAATCGTAAAAAAAAAAAAGGAATGAAAGAAAAAAAGAGGATTTGGGAGGAAAAGATGAGAAGAAAAGAATTTGTTTTCTAAAGACTGCACGACTTAAAGGGAAATCTAAGTTCCCTTGTTAAGTTGAAGGCTGTGTAAAAACATCACTTTTTTTTTTTTTTACGGGGAGAACACCAAGCAGCCGGCGAGTGAACGCATCAACACTTTGTCAGACCACTACAAATCTGCGCCTGGGGGCCACGTCTTTTCAGCCACCTTACGCTGACAGACACTGTGTGGTCTATTTTATGACGGAGCCGCCTCTGAAGGCAACAACTCATGTGTGACTCGGCTGCAGTATTAATATCACAGCCTCCTCTCAAACCTCCGACACAACACTGGAACATATTTATGCTCACGCACGAGCCCAAACAAACTCAGAGGCTGTTTGTCTTTGTCACTGGATACAGTGGACCAAAAGGCTGCTGGGATTAGGCAATAATCTGCTGCTCCGGATGAATAACAAGCAGTGTTTATGTCATCCAGCCGCTGAGGATGAGATGGTGCCCTGGAGTGGGTGTGAAGCTCTCTAACACACCTCAAACACCACTGAGACTTAATCAGGGCTGTTTATTGTCTCTGCCTGCCATGCTCACTGTGAGGAAATGGCTTGTAAAAATATGACTCTTTTTTTTTTTTGGAGGAACTGCTCCATCAGGGCAGAGTGAGCTCAGCTTTGTCATAAAACTGTACAAAATACAGAAAATACTTCTTCCTTTTGTTTCAAGAAGTTAACAGTCTCAAGCGGCTGATTTTCCAGTCTGCGGTGGACTTTAAAGTAGATCTCCTCTTTTAACTTGTACATTTATGTGCCCCGCTCATCCATGCAACAGCTGAAAGAAAGCGTGCATTTTCTCCTGCAGGCTTTTCAACAGATGAGCGTTTTGAAGAAGTGTGTGGAGGGTGGGTGGGTGGGTGGGAGTGCAGATGCCGGGTGCAAGAAGTCACGCAACATTTAGTGACAATGAGCCATGCCGCGCTGAGGAAGCAGCAGCGGACGTTGTTCGCTTTTTATAAAAGTTCACCGGAGTTGTTTGACTTTTCTCGAAGAGCTAAAGAAAAAGTGGAATAAAGGCACGAACCAGCGGAGAAAAGCGTTATTTTAGAGGCCTTTTGTGGGTTTTACAGAATATAGTTTTTCTAATAAAACACTTTAAGAACAGCAAAAGAAAAATGCACTAACACACGAGGAACAAAGTCTGTTCTACTGACAACACAAGGAGCTCCATGATCACAGGAATAAAAGTGATTATTCGAGTTGCTCCAAACAGCTCCTGGACGTCTCCAACAGGCTGGAGATCCTCTCTGAAGAGCTCCCCATAAAACCCCACTTTTAACGACTCAGGCTGATTTATTTGACTTATTGTGCGTTAAGTGTCCCATTCTCTCTCCCCTCCTTAAAAAAAAGAACCCTCTTAGCAAATGATGTCAGTGTGAAGCAAGCCCCCATGCTCACCATGTGTTAAAGGAATTATGGCCTGACTTGTTGAAATGCAGCCTCCTGGGATGATGAGCTCCTCTCTGCAGGGATACAAGTCCAACTGCAGCAGGAGGACATCAATAACCCGAGCTGTCAGGCAGACAAAGTGGCATTTGTACTTTTTTTTTCCTTAAATACATCCACAAATCAAATCTGAGGATGAAGAATTTAGAAGGAATCCCAAATGAGGCTCTTATTATTATATTGTGTGAAACACACTCAGTGCAGGCTCTGTATTATTATTGACTGGGTTTAAAACACAGTATTTGAATTATCATCCATCTGAAGTAGTTTTACCGTTTGTATATTATTATTTTTTTCCATTATATGTCTAAAATATTATTTAGTAAGTATGTTTGGTGAGGTTTAATTCACATTTATGACTTTATTTTACGCATCCTCTTGGATTATCATTAATATCTATTTCACTTTGAAATGTTTGCAGGCTGATGGCGGTTTAAATGAAGGAATACAACATTTTTAAAGTCCCGTTTACACCGAGGTCTCCTGCAGACTGTGGGGAGCTCCGACCCTCATCCAGCAGCGAGACCTTGTGCGCATCCAACTTACGTGTGGACAGGGACAGCGCGCCGGGGGGGTGCAGGCTGAGCAGGAGCAGGCAGAGGTCCAACACACGGCTCATTGTTTCCTGCTTCTCTCTTCTCCCCAGCAGAAGGACTCCTCGTCCTCGTGTTGTTGTTTCTGTCGCCGAGGCTCCCTCCGCGATCCGACGCACAAGTTTTTACGCACCGCCGAGCCAGGGAGAGGACCTGGGGTGTGTGTGGGGGGGGGGGGGGAAACGGCTTAAAATCCCGGATTTTATTAACAAGACAAGTCTGAGGAGAGACAGGGGCGATCTAACTGTGTGACCCGATGAGGGGGGAGAAAAGAAACGTTCCTCTCAGCTGAAGTGGAGCCTGGGAGCGTGAACGCGTCACGTTTACTTCACTGGTTTTCCTTTAATGCTTCCTGCAGACAAATCACGCACAAGTTCATACTTTCTAAGCCCCTCCTCTCTCTGTCTTCCCACACAGTCGCCAGTCATTCTTCCCCCCTTCTTCCCTTCTTCCCGTCCTTTCCCTGCTCTTCCCCCCCTCCAGTGATGGGTCAGAACCATTCACTTTCACTGAATCACTGCGTTTCTCTGCAAAAACCTCAGGTCTGCACATTTTCCCAACAGGAGGCTGTTGAGTCAGAGTTACAGGAAGGCTGCCAAGTTTCAACTCTTTCTTTTTTTTATTACCTTCATTGTCAATATTTGGCTTTTTTTTTTTTTTTTTCTACATCAAAACAATAATGTTCCTGTTTTAATTGCTTTTAATAAAGTTTTAAGTCTCTAATAAATAACCTAAAATCTTATTATACCCACATCCGTCCATAAAGTCTTCTATAATTTTTTTAAGTAATGTTTGACTCCAATATCTGGTTTGTCCTAATGCCTAATTAATTAATTAATTACTGTAGTCCTACTTATATACTTGAAGTCAATACGGCTTTGGATCAAAACGATCATATTGAAAGAAATAACTGCAGTTGATAATAAAAACTGCTGCTGGCGTGTTGGTTAATATTTAAAAAAAGCTTTGGACACAATAATTCATGATGTAGTGATGAAAAAGCTGGAACATACAGGATTAGAGTGATCGTGTTACAATGTGTTAGAAGTTATTTAAGTGGCAGACAACAGGATGTGAAACTGGGAAGTGTGTGTCCCCAGTGTTTGGACACGGCTTGTGGGGTTCCGCAGGGGTCAGTTTTGGGTCCTAAATTATTTATAATGTCTTTAAATGATATGCAAAATATCTGGAGTTATGAAATTTGCAATGTTTGCTGAAATTTATTTTTGGTTGGATATACTTTATTACGGTTGTTAAACGATATCACTGATTAAATGAAAAAGCTTTAAAAAAATATGGTTTGATTGTGACAAATGTGAGCAAAACCCAAATAATCCTGTTTGGGCACTAAACTGGGTAAGGAACTGAAAATACAGATGACGTGATTGTTGAAATGGTACACAGTTACATTTATTGGTGTGTTTGATGATACGCTGAACTGGAAACCTCACATCAGATACAATCAAAATAAAATATCCATGAGTATTTCTTTATAGAACAAAACTAAATGCCTGTATCATGTCATCTGGACTTCGTTTTTTTGTTAAAAAGAAACGTTTCGCCCCTCATCCAAGAGGCTTCGTCAGTCTGAGGCCTAGCCATCTGGTATTACCCAGAAGCCACCCTGACTCTTGTGTTTCAAGCCTGCCTCAGATACCCCTGAGGTCTGGCCTTTTCACTAATGGTTTCAAAAACACAAAGTTTGTTTTCTCAGTCATCCAGGTATATAACAACAAAAAAGGTTGAATCATGTCATCTGGACTTCGCTTTTTTTTTTTTTTTTTTTTTTTTTTGGACATGATTCAACCTTTTTTGTTGTTATATACCTGGATGACTGAGAAAACAAACTTTGTGTAAATGCCTGTATGTGCTGGATGGGAAAGCACTCCACATTTTGTACTGTTGCTTAGTTTTACCATATTTAAAGTTTGAGGAAATACTGTACAAAACAACTTTACAGTCACTAAACCTACTTCAAACAAGAGCATTAAGAGTAATTAACAAAGTAAATGGTAAATGGACTGTACTTGTATATCACCTTTCTATCTTGTCAAGACACTCAAAGCTCTTTACAATCTGTGCCTTATTTACCCATTCATACAGCTCTATACTAGATCTCTACAAAGAATATTCAGAGCTTTATCACATTCAGACACCGATGGGACACATCAGAGGCAATGGGGGGTTCAGTGTTTTGCCCAGGAACACTTCAGCATGACTGCTGGTGGAATTGAACCCCTAACTTTTGCATTAGAGGACGACTGCTCTAACCACTCAGCCGCAGCCGCACCTGGATCTGTAAAGTCTGGATCATACACACAATTCATACAATCAAACTCATGGACATAGTTAAATTACAAACAGTTCCAATAATGTACAAAGCTCAAAATAACCAAACGCCTGAAAATATTTAATAACTGTTGAAGAGAAGGGAAAATGTTTATGAGTCTAGAAGTATATATGGAACAAAGATGATTCTGTCTGTGTGGTGAAGCTTTAGAGCAGGATGAATGTGGAGCTGGAGCAAAGTCCGAACATGGAGCCGTTTAAAACACGTTATATGATTATAGATGAATAACAGACTTAAATAATCATTATTGTTACTGTCACCTATTGTCATTGTTTACTTCACTGTACGTATAATTGTCTTAAAATGACAATCAAAGGGGTTCTAGTTTTTGGAACGCACATTATTTATTAATGATTATTATTTACTTCTTTTTTTTTTCCTTTTTACTTCTTTAATAGTTGTTTGGGTTCATAAATTTGAAGAAAATTTGTTTGCTTTCTTTTTTTGATGAAAGTGAAGTGACGGGTCACAGGAGAAGGGGTGGGCTAATATAAGAGCATACGTCTTCCTACTCCTTTGAGCGTAGGAATATTGTAGATTAGTAAATATTTCTGTAATTAACTGTTGTTACATTCAATTCATTTAAGAAAGAAACAGAAAAAAAAAAACCTCAGAGAAAAGAATATTTAAAAAAAAAGATTTCCAAAGCCCTAAACAACCCCAGGAGTTGATGGAATGAATGGAAGGAATATGGGACATGTGTAAATCTACCAAGAGCAGTCCATCCTCGCAAACTGAGCTTCTTTGCTGGAAATAAAAAGTGTGAGAGACCACCAAGACACAGTGACCACTCTGGAGGAGTTACAAGCTTCAGCTGGCGAGAAATAGACTGAGCATACAACAACTGTTGCCCAGGTTCTTCACCAAGCTTTACTGGAGAGTGGCAGAATAAAGCTGCTGTTAAAGAAAACACATTTAATCTGACCAGTCTCTAAACATCTTAGAATAACTTCAGTGGACACTTATACAAGATTTACAACAGAGATCTAAATAAAGAAGTTCAGTCTGGTCCTCTGGACATTCAAACGTTTGAATGTCCAGAGGACCAGACTGAACTTTTGTAGATTTTTCTACCTGGATGCATCAGGACTTTTACAACAGAGTGTGTTCATGTTTTTGACTACATGAGAAGCATGGAGGGTCTCAGTCTCCTGGTGTGAATCTCAACAGGTTTTGTCGCTTGAATTATAAACATGTTTTTAAAAAACTGTGTCATATTCTTTTCACATAACAGTGACCTTCTCTCCAGTTTCCTCGCACATATAAAACCATGTAAATTGGTAACTAAACTGGGGAGGGCCAGAGCCCCCAATAAACTTTCTGCCTCCTTTAGCTTCCATATTTTACAGTATTTTTCAAATAGTTGCTATTTAATGAGTATGATAAAATATTCCTTTATTTTTTTACAAAGGTGAAGCACCCACACCTGCTTCCACCCTCATTTGCTCCACTCTGTGCCCTTGAGCAAGGCTCTTAACCCCCACCATGTGCTCCCCCGGGCACCCTAGATAGCAGCTCTGTGCTCCACACAGAGGGCTGTGGCAGCTTGGTGGTCTGTGGTCGTGTCAGGAAGAACATCCGGTGTAAAAACAGTTAAGTCTTCGTGCGAGTTAGTTCACTGCGACGACCCCAGCAGCCGAAAGAAGAAAGTAATGATTTGGTCACGCCACAAGCGGCCCCTTCTGGCTGTCACTTTGAAAACTAGGAAGGCAATTTTGACGACATCCTAAAGCACTGGATATGGAACTCCAAAATTATTACAAGTATCTAATAGGCAACAATAAAAAGAAAAACAGGAAGGGCATCCAACGCGTTGAATCTTTCATGCGACTGTGAAACCCGCCTGAAGAGGGGAACACACGAAAGAAACTTCCTTAATTACTTGAAAAAATATTAAAAGTGGTAACATTTTAAAAATATACCCCCCACCCCTTTTCAAAATACACCTGTTCAAGCCATAAAAAAAGCTACATTACCTTGAAAAAGGCGAAAAAGCAACAATCATTTCTGTTGAAATGCAACAAAATTTTAGAAACCTCAACAAAACAATTAAAAAAAAAAAAAACATTCAGGAGGCATTTCAGAGAATGCCACAATTTAAAGAAAAAAAACATATTGAAACGTGAAAAATGGAATTAAACACAACTCAAACCAGCTTTAATCAGACTTTTAATGGATGTAAGTGTGATGTGTTAATGATGTGATCACCGTTCACTTGAAATGAATCTGGATTTATGGTTTTAGGAGGGACACGAAGCGCCTGTTTGTCTTTGACACAGCTGCCATCAGATACAAATCTGTACTTTCTGAGATTAAATTCTTCAGGACAACAGGGATATAAGGGCAACTTTTATTTCCACAGAGGAGTTTCCATATATGTCAGAAGAAAACCAGTCAGGACCTCCGTGGGCGTCCACAGACAAAGAAGACAAGTGGGGGGGCGGGGTGGGGACGCAGCAGGGAGAGGAAACAACCATGTCAGGTCACATTGTGATTGAGAAATCCACCGGAGTTTGCCCGCTGAACAGAAACTGTCTTCATGTGCATCGTCTGAAGGAGCGCTGTGACTAATATTTGACTAATGTACGGGCGGAGACGTATACAAATGAGTCCTGCTCCTCCTCTTTCAGCGGAGGCAGCAGTGAGTCAGCAGGAGCCCAGGCAGAGAGTCAGGATAACAGCCGTGGTGACCTTTGGGTCCCTCTCCACAATGTCGGCCTTTCTCCCTCACTCTCTTGTTCCCGCTCGTACCCTGCAGTTACCGTCTGACAAATCGGAAAGGGATTTGGTGACAACCTCATGTCTCCGAAATCTGTTTCCGATAAACTCACTCAGTGCCACAGAAAGAAAAGCAGATTCATGATGACCGTTTAATTGTCACCATTTTGGCCCCAGTTACTAAAAAAATTAACTAAAGCCAGAAAGGCTCACTGGGAAATGAACATCTTGATGCTTGAGATTTCTACCTTTAATTCCAAACACTGCAGACAGAAAGTGCTGTGTATCAGTGTATGTTTGTGTACAATGATTAAATTAGTTAACCCATCACACCTGAGATACACAGGTGGAGCTGTGGGCAGCTATGTCCGGAGAGCAGTTGGGGATTGGGTGTCTTGCTCAGAGACACCACGACATGTGTGCATGGTGGGGAGTTGAGCTTTCGACTTTCTGGTCCCAAGTCGGCTGCCCTACCTCTACACCACAGCGGCCCCTCAACGGGGCGTACGGCACCTGATATTCCCAGGTGGTCTCCCATCAGGTACTAACCAGGCCCAACCCTGCTTAGCTTCCAAGACCAGATGAGATTGGGCGTGTTCAGGGTGGTATGGCCGTAAACTATAGGAGACTGAGTCTCGCTGGACTGCTCAGGCTGAACTACAGCGTCTATTCACGGGGGGTGGGGGGTGCGGATCACACTACTACTAGAGAGTTGCAGATGAAGCGATGAGAGGCAGCAAACAGCAAAACGATGGTGAAGCCTTCATGTAACAACACCAGCTCTGTGAGAAAACTGGGCCTTCGTGTTCTTTCTCTGGAACATGTTGAACGTTAACCTCATGTTTGAAAGGCTGGTTCTTTTCCTTGGAGAGCACAGGACCCCCCCCCCCCCCCCCCCACACACACACACACACACACACACACACACACACACACACTGCACAAACAAATCTCTTTGTGGCTTGTTTTCAGAACCCCTTGCTGCAGTAAAAAAAAATGCACATCTTACTTTGTTGGAATGTTTTATGCAGGTTCTGCCACAGAAGGAGTTTGTTTTCTGGGTAAAAAAACTTAATTTCATGGTTAATATGTGGGTTTTGTAACAACACTTTGTATGTTGTAGGATAAACTGTATTTAGGTTGTTCAGAGTCAGAGTCAGAGTTTCTTTATTGTCATTCACACCTCATGTAATACATGTGGTGGAGCGAAATTATGTACACAGGGTCCCAGTTACATCCAACAATAAAATGTATAAGAAAAACAGTAATAACATCTAAGATATGAACTAAGAAAAACATCAACTAAATATACACTAAGCACTCATAACATAAAACATTGAACATCAGCACAAACATGAACATGAGTCTGTGTGAGCAGATGTGCACGCATGAACACATCAACATGAAACAGATCAGCAGCAACATGAAACTGATCAGCAGCAACATGATATGGTTTTTCACAGTGATTATCCTGGTTAGAGATTCATGAGTCTAACAGCCTCAGGGTAGAAGCTGTTCCTCAGTCTAGTGGTTCTACACTTAATGCTCCTTAACCTCCTTCCTGAGGGGAGTGGGGCAAAAAGTGTGTGTGCTGGGTGAGTGGGGTCTTTCATGATGCAGGTGGCCCTCTTCCTGCATCTGGAGGTGTAGATGTCTGTGATGGTGGGGAGGCCGATTCCGACAGACTTCTGTGCAGCCTTCACCACTCTCTGCAAAGCTTTTCTTTCTGCAGCTGTGCAGCCTCCATGCCACACGTTGATGCTGGAGCACAGGATGCTCTCCACTGCAACATTTTTTTCCAAAGGGCCATATCAAGGCGTTTAAAGCAATCAAAGGGCCGCATAGAGAATTGAAACATTTTCTTTCAGAATCAGAATCAGCTTTATTGTCATTGCACCGAAGCACAACAAAATTACATTTCACTACAGCCCGTCCGAGAAAACATAAACAAACAGACATGGGGAGACGGAGGTGTCTGAGGCTGCGGCCTCGGGAGGTGCTGCCCTTTTCGTTTAGATAAGGAAAACAGAAACACAAGGGGAGGTGAGGTGTAAAAAAAATCATATGTCACACTGTGTCCTAGATGGGACACAGTGTGAAAGTTGCAAAAAAAAAGACCTCGGAACAGAAACAGCATCATACTGATGACATCATAATACATTTGTGCATGAGGAAGGCCGATGAATGCGGTGAGTTGTCTGTGGACACTGCCGGATAGTTCCATAGTTCTGATAAGAGATGGTGCAGTGTCTATCAGCCGGCTCAGCTCTGATACAGGTCCACAGATGTCCTCGGGAAGGGAGTGGGTAGGGGAGGAGGAAAGCAGAGCTTTTTGTTCACATAAAATCCAGGAGAGTTTGAGATAGTTGACCAATTTAAGGCCAAGTAGGGGAACAACAATTATTTTGGATCAGGCCTACTCTGCTTGATTTCTGTCTGTCTTCATAATCTACTGGTACGTCTCAATGGTGACTCCAAACAGCCAAATTTTGTGGTCAACACCACCGGGCCGAGCTTGTAGCTTCTCCAAGGTCGATTATCTGTACGACAGATAATCTAGAATACCTTTTTCAGGCTTTCTCTTATTGAAGCATAGTTAGCGTGCTTTATAAAATCTTCTGTCCAATATCCTTTAAGAATATAAGACATCTTCTGTAAACTGGCTCTTGTTACATTACATGGTAGCTTAACATGTTATTCATGTTAGCGGAAATATGCACAACAAACATGTATTTGTGTTTCTAAGTCTTGGAGGTTCAGTCTAATTCTGGGATCACAATTATTTAAAAAACGTTTTTTTCTTTAAGTTTTGCATAAGAAGTTTAATTTAAATTTATTTAAGTCTTGTTGATAAATCACTGTTTTGTTGTTCTTTTGAACTTGGGACATTGGAGGCTTGATGGAAATTGTCCAAGGGCCACTTTTGGCCCGTGGGCTTTAAGTTGCCCAAGTCTGGTTTAGGAGGTCGTTTGCACGAGATCAGATTCTGTGAATACACAAAAGTTTTTCATTATTTTAATTTTGTGTCCTTATAGAAATGGAATTTTAGGAGACTGTAAACCATCAACCTTTTTAAACGAGTTCCTGGATAAAAAAACCAAAAACAAAACAACTCAACAATGTCCTCACACGTAGAGGGCCAAAACATAACTTTTTGAAAACAATGGATGTTACAGCCCCACCCCTCATCTGACCCACTAACAGAGAACTTCCTCACATGTTATCGTGTTTACGTTTCACATCCAGAGTGCAAACCTTTTGTGAATGCTCCACACCTTGTTTCCTGTTTTTGGTGTATTTCCATGGCAGCACTGCAGCACCACAGACAGGCCTGGTTACAACAGCGTTTTCTGTGGTTTTTGGTGTTTCCGTGTGGACAAAGACTTTTTTAGAAACTTTGCTGGTTTATCAAGGATGTTTTTAGATTTTGAACTATTTTCTCAGTTCACACAAATCTAAAAAAGCCGAGAACAATTGTATCTACTGTTAATAATTTTGGATGTGGTTTTCTCAAAATTACCAGTTAATAATCCTGTTATGTTGTAATACCGAAGCAAATTCGATCTCATCTCTAATCATGTTATGACATTTTCAGATCATAGTTGATGCTCTTCTGTGTGATATTTTTAGCCTAAATCAGTTTACAGCCAAGTAACCCTTTAGCTTAGGTGTAAAATAATTTGTAGTTATTGTGAGAAAAAAGCTTTCACAAGTTATAGGTTAAAACGAATAGATGTCAACTTGTTATCTCAATAAAACAGCCTTTGCTGTATTCAGATGAATGACTTTAACAACTTTTTAGTGTGTTACTTTGAGATAATGTCATGATAGATTTCTGATCATGTCCTGTCTTGGCTTCTAATAAATGCTGAAATAATCACAGAATGGTGAGAATATCTCCTTTAACAACATAAAAATACAACAAAAGGTTCAACCCTAGCTTGGCTAAAGATTTTGCCCAAACAATTGCAATTTGTTTAAAGTTTTCAGTTTTTTATTCATAATTTGAGCATATAATGAACATTATACTGCAATAGGATAAGCATTATTTGTAATACTGTATATATAATGACAATATAGCTATCTTTAAGTTAAATGAAATCAGGTAAAACAGCCTCATTGTTGGTTTGGCTTCCAGGTTACAAATTGCTGCACTATTACCAAATTTTCCACATTTTTAGTTCAAAAATTACATTATTTTTAAAGTCTCTCTTATTTTATCTAAAAACTGTTTTTGTGTGGACGAGAGGAGAAAAATCTCCAGTTTGAAACAAATCCTTGTAAATGTTAATGAGGTCTGCTTAAATAATCAGCCAAGAGACAAATGAAACACGTTTAATTCCAAACTTTTAAAAGTGAAAAAGAATTGTCAATATTATCAATAAATAAACTTCTTTTTGTTTTGTTTTTAACCACAAAGCAAATTTAAACCAGTAACAAATTTACAACCAGAGATGAGCCAGGAGTTTAAGGAAATGCAGAGTGGTAACTTTAGATAATGATGCTCCTTTGTGTTTTTACATAATGTAACCAGCAGGAAGTTGCATCATCACATAATTAAACAGGAAATAGGTGCAGTCCTCAAATTTTCACATTTCAGTGTTCATTATAACCAGTTATTTATAAGTGATTGTAAATCTCTAAAAAAAAAAATAATTGCGAGACATTCTTGTAAAATAAAAATATTAAACAAAAATCAAAAAACTTCATGCACAATCCAACAATTTTCAGTCAGGTCATCTGGATAGTTTCCTTTTTTTGCTGAAACATTTCACCTTCCATCCAGAAGGCTTCATCAGTCAAGGAAACACAAAACTGATTCTTCCCCCAAACAGCTTACTCCAAAGTTTAACAAACCAGTTATGTTGGTGCTAAGATGGTGTCTTTGGCACGCCCCCTCCTCTGGAGCCAGCCCTCTTCCTCATCGACAGTCATGTCAAACTGGTTCAAAACCAACAAAGTCCATGCTCAATAATCCAGGTATACAATCCAACAATTTTCAATCAGGTCATCTGGACAGTTTTTTTTTTTTTTGCTGAAACATTTCACCTTCCAGATGACCTGACTGAAAATTGTTGGATTAAACAACAATATTTTCTAAACTCATTTTTGGTCAGAGAAGATATAATTAAAGTTTTTTGTTTGTTTGTTTTATTAAAAAGCTTAAATTAAAGGGGTTCATTGGCTGCTGAAACGTGTTAAACTAAAAGCTGAAACTGATATGTTAAAGCTAAAAGAAGCAGAACACTAACTACAAGCCAAAAGTAGCATAAAACTAAGCGTACCAAACCACAGGCTAAAAGATAAAAGTAGTAAAGGCAGTAGCTTAAAAAGAACTAAAAGTAGCACAAGGCTAACTAAAAGCTAAAAGTTGCAAAACATTATAGCTAAAAGTTAAAATATGCAAAAAGCTAGCTACTGTAAATGTGGCAAAAGGCTAACTTAAAGCTAAAAGTGGCAAAAAGCTACTAGAAGACAAAAGTATCAAACAGTTATTAAAAGCTTAAAATATCAAAAGTCTAGTTAAGAGCTAAAAGAAGCAAAATAATAGCTAAAAGTTAGAAGTAACAGAAAAATAACTAGAAACAAAATATCTAAAGGCTAAAAAGGTAGCTAGCA